AGAGCGACAAGAGCGGCTACGGATACGGGGACAGATCTCCGTAAAGACAACGCGTCGTAAAGCTAAACTAATCGCCACATCACAGAGAAAACAGGAGCGGTGTGGAAAATCCGAGAAAGGAACCATGGGTGGATGAGCTGGAGAACAGTGGCAGAGTGCCAGGTGAAATGGCCTGTTGGCAGCTGTCCACCGGTCGGATTAATGCTGGAAAAAATTAGTGCAGCGTAGTGGGAAAATGGAGAAAATCTAGAACGAAGGAGAATCAAGAGAAGACATTCTGTAATATTGCGAAAGAAAAGATCGGGAAGATAAGGAAGACTGAACCATTACACCCTAACGGTCTAAACTTGTTATTGATTTACCAAAACGCGATTCAAAAACAACAGCAAAGCAGAATAGAGGGGATAATAAAAGTCAATGACAAATTTAACACTGTCAGAAGAAAACGGTAGTCATTAGCTAGACTTAACAAAAGACAAAACAAACCGACACTTCTATTTTTTCTATTAGTTCACTAATGACAGACTCATTAAACAACTGAAAGAGGAACGCAGTGTAAACAGCGTACACAGTGGTAAAAAAAAAAAGACAAATGGAAAGAAAGGGCAATGAAGAAGAAGGGAAAACCACCTTAGCAAAGTACGACGGCATACGAAAAAGGTGGAAATGCAGCCGTAAGCACTGAAACGAGTACTGAAGAGCCTACGCTGCCGATATTGTTAAGCATGAACACCAGTGAAATCACCGAATGAAATATGTGACTGATGGAAGACTGAGCGAAGAAAATGTAGTCATATGTAACGATCGAAAGGATTATTACGGAGAACTGATGGCTTTGGAACTTCCAAGAAAAAAGGCGGCAGTGATTTAGAAACCTTCGAGGGAATGTGAGGTTCGCATGCAGTTCGAAACACACCCACATACATCAGATCAACCGATTTCTACGAGTTGGCGCTGGTGTGGCATTGACAGCGAAAGATTACGAGAGCAGGAAAGATAACAGCGTAGTAGGTGGGTTGGATTAGATGATTAGATGATAATGCGGTGACTGTGGTGGCCCTACGCGGGTGGTCGGACGACGATAGTGCCGGAGAGCGTCGGCGCTCTTTGATAACCCACCGCTCTCCATGTCCGTGGATCGCCGGCTTGAGTTGCAGGACGGCTGCTAGCTTCAGCGTATGCATTAGAAAGCTTGTGCACTTACTGGTGACTATAATACATACAGAATAATTCATAGGAAGAAAAAAATCTAGGCCAATCTCATGATGAAGAACCGATACTTTTTCATCGGTTCAAGCGATTTAGTCTGATAAATTAGTGGGATAATAAATTATAAATAAGTAGAAAAATAAAAGGTAATAAAATGAGGACAAACACAAAGCACAAACTCTAACTCTTTAGGCACAGAGAATGGTCAGAGCAGAGCTGCAAGAACGGTGTGCATATGGTGATAAACCCAGAATGGCCAATAATGCCACATCGTTGGTTCTGATAACAGTATCTGTGCGAGACAAGGAAGGAGCAGTCATGAAACCTCGCGACATTGCAGCTCTTAGTCGCGAGAAAATCTTACAGCATAGGCAGTTCGTAAGTTGTGATTCGGTTCCAGACCAACATGTCTTTTACAGATTCGTCACACACGACGCAAAGTGCAAGCAGGTCTAGGACTTCTGGAAAGCTTCAAAACCGGTGTAGACGCAGCCAAAGAGAAATCTGACAAGGGCTGATCCGATTTTGATGCGCAGAAGTGTAATCGATTGTAGACGGCGTAGGCTTCATCTTGTCAAGAAAACGATGGCGGAACGTTAGATCGAAAGTGCTGACGAGGAACACGTGATATCTGTTGTAACAATAAAATGAGAACAACAAGCTGTGAATGATTACAAGCAAACATCGAACGAAAACCACCAAAGTGGCTTACAAGCAATGGATTTTTGGCCTCTGATTTAGAGTAATATTGGTGAGCATTTAATGTCATTGGGATTTCAGTCATAGCATATTCGTTTAAATCGTAGAGTTCTGGATAGTTGTTTCGAAAGACACATAAGCAATAGGACTTAAGGTCGACGTGGAGGCGGCAGCGATGAAGGGCAGGCGTCTGAAGCCTCCGTCAAAGGATGGCGTTTGACTTTTGACCCTACTCCCATCATAAATAAGCGCCTAGTGGCAGATGATGGTCATCATCATAACGTCGAACATAGGCATTTCTACTTCAATGTATTCAATAATAGAACCAATATTCTTTGATCAATGACTTAGGTAGAAATGTGAAATTATGAACATGACCAGGCAGACGGTCGACATGTCTTTATCAGTAATCAGCGACCCAAAATGCATCGAGTGCTCACTATGATTCACTTTCGTTGCTTGCCGGACTCATCTGATAAATTCCTTCTGTGAGATAAACACACAGAATTCCTCACCTTATCGACAGAGTTCATACTTGTTTAAATTGTTTAGCTTACACGAGGATCATGAAATTGTTTTATCCGGCTAACGTCTCGACATCTTCGTTTTCACCAGAATCGATGATCCGAGCCGATCGCCTTCTCGATATGGCGCCTTCTTCGTCGTATCGAGACGGATCTTCTTCAGTGGAGCATTTCGCGATGAGGAATATTCACCATGCAATGCTCTTTTATACAGGGCGACTACTGTTGATATGACTATCCGTTGATAATAATTTGTTTTTCAATGGATGATCCACCTTGAAACAGTCGATATTGTATTGTATATATTGTGTTAACTAGCACATGAGAAAAGAGGATAAAGCTCTAGGCGTTGATCAATCCCTGAGGGATGCACCATGCATTCGACTTCATTAAGCATCTTTTCGAGGTGACTAAACGCCTATCTGGCCTTTACAATAACTCGCTGTGGCGCACGGATTTATCCAGCTAGTGCTTCTATCCTCCCAGGCCAGTCTGGTAAGTAACAATTTTCCGATCGTGGAGGGATCGAAGGCTTGGTGGGCCATGGGAGATCGGTTCCACGTATGCATTGCACGGCGCCTCCGATCACTGCGCCACACGCACCTAGCACATAGCGAATAGCAAAACAGAACTGTAGATCACTGACTTGAATTATCGGCTATGATGAACACGAAGACGTCGAAACGTTAGCCGAAGAAAACAATTTTATCAACCTCATGTAGGCTTAACAGTTTAAACAAGTTGGTTATTTTACTACCGTGGTTAAATGACAGTCACTTTGAAAATTAGGTTCTACACTCTTGTGCTAACACGAAGAAGTCCTGCTACGGCATTGACACACCTTTCCCACTTCTTTCTTCTTTATTTTATGGGCTCTAATGAGAAAAAGTCTAAAGGTTGTTCTTCAATAACACAAAGATTCCTTGACACAAGCAAAACCGATCTCATTTTTTCCATGCTCGAGTACTGCGGAAAGCTCTGAGATATATGAAAGCCGAAGAAGAAAAGCGTGATCGAGAAAACTGGCCTCTAATCGGGTGATCTTCGTCCTCCTCAATGCCGTTTAGATGCCGTTACAACCATCTCTTGAGAACAAATTTTCCAGAAAAAGCCACGTAAATGACTCAATCGGTGAAATTAATTTTATGGAATATAACTTCAATGATGCTGAGATATTTGCAAAACTCCGGACCGCAGATGTCTGCCGTGGAGAGCGAACGCGCTATTGTCCTTTCCGGAGAGTAACGCGTTCACCATCATAACATCCGGTTCCTTCGTTTCGCCTGTCTCTCAGCTAGTTCTATCGATCTCTGCCATCAGAAGTCACCCGTTAGCGGGATTGATCTGGGATTACATTTCGTAATATACGCTACCATTAAAAAGACCAGGCTGTAAATAATAAGTTAAAATCAAGATGAAATAATTGGAACAAATATTTTTTTTTAAATAAAAACAGTTTTTTATCACTTTCGACGCGAACTTGTGGCAAAGAAGCATTTCCTTAACATATCATACAGGAACCCAAGTTGTTCTTCTTGCATGAATTCCCTGCCACCTGTACTACCTGCAATCCCATTGACCACCGAGTGATTTAGTGATATCACTATTAAATCCCGTGACTTTTTCGTCGTGCTCTAGAGTTGCTCAAAATAAGGTATAAAATATAAAATATGGTATAGTGGTATAAATATAAAAACAAAACAAGAAGGAAACCTTTCTTACCCAACGTACTTACTGAAGCCTTTGCCTGTGATGCTACTAGTTTTCTCATGCGTTTCCACCAGAACTGCCTGGCAAAATTTTTGCGAACCAAGCAAGGATTATATCGATGAAGATGCAATGAATTTGGCATCTTTTGTCAACGCAGCATTTTCGCAGTTTTAAGGATGTTTAGTTACCCATCTTGACGGTTTTGTCAGTACTATTAATAAGATGCACAAATGAATACGCTGTAGTCCACAGTTAGGGTGTTAAATGGGGGAAGGGTTTCGTTAGAAGATTGAGCTGGAAATCATCCTGCTTGTATATTTTGTTGTTCGGTCTTATTTGATGAGGGAAATAACAACATATAAACAGGTATTAAAACAGTTTTTGTACCAAAGTGGTGTTAATCTGTTTAATGATCGGACAAAATGCGACGTTCTTTCTTACACGCCAATCTTGTTCGATACTAACCTTGATATCAGTTAGAAAATGTGTATACATAAAAAATTCTGAGAAGAAGAATTGCCCACGTCTCCGATTTTACGAGCGCCATTCAAATATTCACCTCTCCCTGTCCTCTATGCTCTTACACTTTCAAATTTACCTCGCATTTCAAGTTTGGCTAGCATTTTGCACAGTTGCCTAGCAAGGCTTTTTTTTCGTGGAATGCTATGGTTAGCTGCTGTGGATGTTATCGAGAGATCCTTCACTTCATTCGGCCAAGAACACAAGTGAAACGATGCATTTCTCTCCAATGCTTCTCGGCTTACTTGTACTTATTTACCATGTCCGATGTCAGTCCAGCGGAGGCACCTCGTCTAATTTTTCTCAAAGCATGCTGGGATCATCTGTGGAAATGCTAAATCAGTTCAATTCGCAAACCAATGATATTCGTTCTGGCCATATTAAAAATGCGTTAGGATCAGCTGTTAATACACCGAATCCTTTAAAGTCGGAGTCCAGTGAAGGTGGTTCCAACATTTTGCAGAACGCCTTCACATCAGCTACAAGTAAGATGAATACGTTCGATTCGCAAACTAATAACGGTAGTTCCAGCTCTATGCAGAATGTCTTAGGATCAGTTGTGGGCATGTTGAATCCTTTCAAGTCGGGGTTTACTGAAGATGGTTCTAGCATTTTACAGAGCGCCTTGGGAACAGCGATAGGAAGCTTAAACCTTTTTCGGTCGCAGTCCATTGAAAATAGAGCCAACCCTACTCAAAATGCTCTTGGCGGCTTAGCATTTTCGGGTTTGCCAAAGATTTCTTCATGGTGGTGGCAATCTGAGAACACCTCTTCTACCCTACTCAATCCACAACTATCAATCTATCGACGTCGATGCCCAGTGAAGGTGATTCTTCCAACTCTAGTCAAAACCCTTCAAAATCAATGTTACCTGCGCTGAATTCTACCGGTAGCACTGCCACGATTCCAACGCATAAAATGTTGGAAAATGCTTCTCTTAACGGTGCTGGAAACAATAACAGTGGGGCCAACCCTGTAAAGGCAACAACCCAACAATTTAGCACAGTGAGCGCCAAAAATCTATCCCTTGAAAGACCAGTTGATAAGGTTAGTCGTGTTTCTTTTGGGTTTTTGCACTTATTTTTTTCATTGCTGTAAATCTGAAATAACTTATCACATCAGCTGTAGTGCTGTGTACTTAGCTGACCCAAATGGGTACAAATGAGCACGAGAGTTCTATCACTGCCTTGGGACGTTTTTCGCTCCGCGAATAGTCTGCTGATTGCAGACCATCCTTCTTGCAATAAATAGCAATTAATTTGCCGTTTTGTGTCGAAATAACAAATTCAAAATAAAGTTTACTTTCTATTTTCTGCCTACTACAATTTTCACGGCAGGGTATTGTGCGAAGTACAAGCACAATGATGTTGAAATATTTGCAAAACTCCGGACCGCAGGTGTCTGCGGTGGGGAACGAAAGCGCTATTACCCATTCCGGTGGCTAACGCGTTCACTACCACATTATGCGGGTCCTTCGCTTCGCCTGTCTCTCAGCAGTTCTATCGATTAGTGCTATTCAAGAAATTTCACTAATAAGTTAACAGCTTCATTAAAAATTATCAAACTGAGAATAGGTGGAACCGCGAATCTCAATAGGACGGAGTAATGTCAACTTTCTCATCTTCACCCATTTATGTTAAAACCTTGGAAAATCACAGACTCATGGACACTTGCTTACCGTAAACCTCGACCGCCGGACCAATTTTCCTACAGATTTTTGTAAAGCACTTAATAAATTTCTTAGAAAGCTGTTGCCACTTCACGCATTTGATTTCTTTTCTCATAGTTGAGTTAATGGAACACGCTGTATCCAAAATCGATTGTTCCCACATTGATACAGGGTGGGTGGAATCATTTTATTGCCTTCTCAAAAGTCTAATCGTTTGGCTCTTCTGCACTTCAGCTTGTTCAAAAATCACGTTCCTTCGACAATATTTCTATGACAGAATATTAGTGTGACTGCTCCCAACATCTTCAGGACGGCAGTGCTTCAGTTCGGGACAAATCCGCATCGCCGAAACCAGCGAATGGGACTCATGTTGGTTGCGAAACAGACAACACGACTGCTTCAGGTGGACTTAAATGCATCCCTTCTTGCGAGTGGCTTTCTACAGTATTTGTATAAGTATTCCTAATCATATCGTTTGACCCTCTGCCCAACTATGCAGATATCTAGTAGATAATTGGTGTGTAACATTTTGAAGACACTCCTACCTGCACTAATAAAGACGGAAATGTCAACATTATCACCATCACGTCTTCAGCAGTAACCTCAGGTCCGTTTCTGATGTGTTTTCCAGTGCTGTTTAAGACATAACTCCTGAGTTTCACTGGTGACAGTGCATTGAAAGCGAGAGTAGTAGCCGCTTTTAACTTCAAATCGACATATCTCAGCTTATTGAAAGTTATTAGTGGGAATGCAAAATATTAGAATCTAAAGATCTCCAGCAGCAAGATTCGAGTCGTTGTATCCTAACAAGGTGAGATTCTGATTTTTTTTCCAGTTTTGCAGGCTTTTTTCTCTTTTATGAGCCATGGGTCGTACATCAAACCGGAAAGTAACTGAACATGCTGAAATTCCATTGGCACGACATGACGGCGCTACCATTACACCGTTGATGTTTGCAACTGCCGCAAGGTCGTATTGGCAGTCTCAAAAATTTACGCGTCGCCCTCCGTCGACTTTTTGAAGATCCTGATTCTAGCCATGCCATATACAAATATATATATATATATGAATACTGTGCAGAAATTAAACATGCTAATAAGGCTATGGAGGATAGGGGTAGCGCAGTGATTAGTGAAGCCGTTGATAAGGAAGCAAAGGCGCTAGTACGACACCTCACCCCACCAACGCTCTTCTCCAATCAACGTGGGAACGCCTTGGCCAGGCTACCTCCAGGGTTGCAAGGAGAGTCGACTTGACTAGTTTTCTATGACACTCATAGAGGACGGAATCCTCAAGCAGAAGTTGAACCAACACATCAAATGCTTGAAGACCACTGTGGACGACGAATACGAAGAAAACGAATCGAATGCAAAAAGTGCTGGGATTCACACAGCAGAAGTAATATCGGGACATGTAAGGTGTAGAATGTAAGGTTAAAAACAAGGCGATAGAGTAAAGTATCTTCTATAAATCTGTGTAGCTCTTAACTCCTCAAATTGTCCAGTGAAGAACTCATCGTCAGTTCTCAAAAAACCAATTTCGATGGCTGAGGATTTAGAAGAAAACCCGTCTCTTCAATTGCTGCTCAAAGCGAAACCGAAAGAAACCCTCTTTCAGCGATACTTTAAACGTTCGATTTTCACACATCACTGCAGCTTCAGTACGAGATTTTACCATACCGGTTAGTTTTACGAAGTACTTGGATATTTGGATACTTGGATGGCCCGTCCTCACTGGTTGTGCGGATCCCGGCATAATTTCCACCGTTTCGGAATTTTGCTGGTTTAGCTACTGTAGTTCCCTGGAGTTCCGAGATCAGGCCAGCTAAGGTCTGCCCCAGGTCGTCACCACCACAGGCAGTCGCCGCCCTTGAGGATCAGAGAGAAATTTGCCACCATGCGACTAGTTTAATACCATGACAGTGGTTGATCCTAGTACTGGCTTACTCTTCGCTGGGCTTCTTGATTAACGCTGGACTTCTTCTCAGCATGAGAGACCCTGCTGAGGGGATAAATCCCTCAACTCAATGTTTTTCATCAATAAGCAGACACGAGGTTGTTAATATAGAATTTATTAGAACACAATTGCTGACGTTTCGGCGGTTTCGCCTTCTTCAGAACCTGGAAAGGTCAAATTGAGATGTGATCTACTCAGCCAAACACTTTCACAACCCTAGCAGATAAAACTTGACAATTCGATTTGCTTTAACGTTTTGTTTTCTGCCTTCTATAATTTTCATGGCAGGTTACTAAGCGAAATACAACCACAATGTTGCTGAGA